CCTCCTACTCCTTTCCTCTATTTCCTTACGCTTTCCTCCTGTCCCACTACCATGTTCAGCCTTCATTCTGGTTTCAGTAATTCCTCTCAGTTACATTGCCCTTGGTCACTCCCTACCAGTCCTCTCATACCTTCCCTGCCACTGGTTTTGAACCACTAGTTCCTTTGTCCCTGGGTTGGCCAACACCTCCTCCCTTCCCCCACCTCCCACACTCTCATGTCCCTCCAGACCGTTGGGCCCGTTATTTTCTTCTCACATTGTTTATCCAGCCTCTTATCTAGATTGACCTGCAGAGATATTAATATGTGCATACAATTGCGGATGGCTTCGAGAGCACCAAACAAAGTGGCACATAAGAACATGCAGCCACATTTTCTAAACAAAGTTACCCAACACTGTCTCAGGGAGTACCAGAACTGGGTTAATTGTCTGAAACCAGGGCACATGAGTACCTTCAGCAGCAGGCTACAGTGAGTTGGCCTGGGCCCCTGGCCCCAAAGGTGTACCTAGGGTGTGCCACCGTATGGCATGTGCTCTGGGGGTGGGGGTGGGGAAGGACGCCAAATGTGTGAGATCACTAAGCAAGCTTCGAATTGATAGGAACCCAATTGGTTCTATACACTTTCACCAAAACTCCAATAAAATATGACTTTAAAAAAAACCCAAACTAATTGCCATTAGCGCCATTTTCACAGACACGCCTCTGCCTGACCCACAATGCTCCTATGGGAAAGTGGTTTCTCATTTCTCGAAAAAGTCAGGAAACGTGCACTTTTGGAATAATCTGACCACTTGCCATTTGAGACCACAACTCTTTTCCGCAACTAGATTGTATGTTCTTCTCTAGAACAGAGTTTGTACAACTTTCAGTCTCTTGGCGCACCTCGCGGAGCGGACACGTGGACGCACAGCCTTCAAAGGCCCATGGCCCCTCTCCTGATCCTCAGCGTGGGGAGTCCGAGTGCAGTGCACCCTCCGGCCACAGGGGGCGCGCGCGGCGGAGCCGGGCGGCCGGAGCCCATCTTGGCCCGAGCCCCGCCCGTTCCCAGCAGGTCCCGCGCGCCTCCCAGCATGCACCTGGGTCAACACAGCGGCGGCGGAGGCGGCGGCGGCTTCCAGCGGGGTCCCGGCGGTTACCATGGCGGAGGCGGCGCCGGCGCGGGTAAGAGGCGCCTTCGGGCCGGCCCGGGTGCCGGCTCCGCGCCCCGCACTCTGGGGTCCTGGTCTCAGGCTCCCGCTGTCCGACGACCTCCTGCTTCATCCGCGTCCTGCGGAGAAGCGTCTTCCGAGGTCGCTCGGCCCCGAGCCCGTTGCTCCGGTGGGAGAGCCGGGCCCCCGTCCCTGCCTTCGGGGACCGCAGACGGACGTCCGCTTCTCTCGACGGCCAACTTGTCTCGGCCGCACTTGGGCAGAGGCACAGGTGTCCCATTGCGTGAACTTGCCGGTTGTTTGTAAAGCTGCCGGGGTTACGACTCTCAGCTGGCCACGCCCAAGTCCGGTGGCTTTTGCCACCCCCACCCCCTCGACTGACCGAGTTCGGCTAGTCGCTAGATAGCGCTGAGGCGCTTCCCAGCTCCGACGCACTCATACCCTTCCTAAGTAACGGTTAACTTACGAAGACACCGTGATTTTTCTCTGGGAAAGGCAGGTACAATTTAGTGGGTTTTAAATGCAACACTTTTCCCCTTCAGGAGCACTTTCAAAATCATGTCAGAACTTTGCGAGAATTCAGAGCCGAGGTAATCTTGGCGTGTCATTGACTAGAAGAGAGTGCAGTTTTTGATTCTTGTAGGAAATGGGTGAGAAGTATGAGGGCAAGGGGCAGCGTTTATAGAACACCGTGATTTTAGCGAGGTTGAATTAGGGAGACAGGACAGGAGTGTTTACAGCACTGGCCTCGTGTGAACCCGTTAAGCTCAGCTGGTTCAGAGACCTGACTTTTACTCACAAATGAGTACTAAAGAGAGGGTAGGAAGAGAGGTTACCAACGTACGCAGATTGTTCGTGACTGATTTTCGCACAGTCGCCAACATGTAACATAGCTTGCACTGCCTTTGTCAAGGGAAAGCCATAAAGACTCACCCCACATCCCAAACCTTGCTTTCCATACCTAGTTGTCCATCTCTTAAGTTGAAGATTCTGTAGTTCTCATTTGATAGTGTGGACCAACTAAAAATGTTGGTTCTAACACAAATATGTAAATTATTTAAAAAGGTACATGAGTAAAAAATACTTGGAATCCAACAATGAAGAGGGAACACTTAAGAGAGAAGCATAGTTGTGCAGCCAGATTTGAGGGCATTTGGTGGAGCATTGTTTCCAGGCGTCCTCAATCTAGGACCCGCGGGTGTGGCACGCCTGGTGTGTCACGCTGAGGACATTTATCCGCCCCGCCAGGTGTTTTTGCCCCGTTCTTTTTTTACTTCAAAATAAGATGTATGCAGTGTACATAGGAATTTGTTCATAGTTTTTTAAAAATTTTTTTATTTTTAGTGGGTAAGATCTGGAGCTCTTTATTTATTTGACTGGTCCACAGGTCCCTACAGGGCCACTTCGGTGGCCACTTCCCCCTCCCCTTGTCCTCTGGCTGTGGCCGCCTCCCTCTTTTCCCGTTGCTGCTTCTGCTTCAGCAGCCTCCGCTCCCGCTCAAACTCCTTCATGCGGCTCACATAGTCGTGCTCGCAGTAGTCGCAGGCGTGCTGCTCGTGCTTGCAGCCCAGGATGTTGGGGAAGCTGTCGCGCTTACACTTGAGCAGTCGTAGGAGGTGGTGGGCGCAGTAGTCCCGCTGGTGCAGCATCAGCTGCGCGTTGGTCATCTGCTGCTGCGTGGTCACCTTGTCGCGCACCTTGGGCCCGGGGAAGCCGGAGTCGGGCCGGAAGGTGGGCATCTGCAGGGGGTCAGGCTCCACCGAGGCTTCGCCCAGGTACCACTGGACCAGGTGGGCCCCCATGGTCACTCATAGTTTTTTTTTTAAACTATAGTCCGGCATGCCAACGGGTCTGAGGGACGGTGAACTGGCCCCCTGTTTAAAAAGTTTGAGGACCCCTGGTTTATGCCCTGAAGGAACCTGGAACATAGTAGCCAAAACTCGGATTCAAAGATGTAGTTCCTACCCCAACACCATCAAATGGAAACTTCAGAGGAAAGCCTTCTATGTAAGGGTGAAATGAAAAGCTCTTCTTCTGAGGTGATTGCAAAGAGAGTAGTGCCGGACTTTGGTGTTAAGAGATGCAGGGCAGATGGTGGGGTCCCCTTTGATAATTCATGGTGACTCATACAGTTTTGTAACCTTAAATCAAGAAACCTCAAGTCAAGAATTTAAGGTAGAAAGAAACATGAAGTTTCTCCAGAGGAATCAACATTTAACAACATTCAAATAATTCTTGGGAAGTTCTGATGCACATGAGTCCACAATTAAAAGTTACTAAAGAAGCAAGGAAACATCAGTGAAAAGAATGGTTGATAAACTTACACCTTCAAAAATGCCAAGTGTTAGAATTACCAGTCAGAATATGAAATAAGTATGTTTAGTACATTTAAAGGTTAAAAGAAAGCATAGGAAATATGAATAAAGGCCAAGAGACTGCGATTTAACATTATTACATATTAGAACAACAATCTAGAACTTCTTGGGTTGAAAAACATCATTAATTAACCAATAGAAAGCTTTATTTAACAGTAGAATGCTGTAGAGATAGCTTGATGGTGGAGTGGAAGATAGAGTGAAAAGAAAAAAATGGAAAACATGAAGAGAAAGGGAAGGTAGAATGAGAAAGTCTTAACACTTTAATCAGAATTCACATACTTGTGTGTGCACACACATGCACACATGCAGAATGCACTGGGAGCCATATTTGAGAAACCATAAAGTCAAAATATCAGTACATAGAATGAAGGCTAGTGGATCACAGTCAGATTATATAAAAATAAATCACTTAGATGCATAATATTGAATGTACAAAATGGAAAGCAGAAATCATTCAAAAGCAACCAGACTGAAAAGATGTAACCTTCACATGAACCACAATATGTGTGACTAAGGGCAGACAATCAGTCATGGTGGAAGACAAGACAGCAGTAGTATCAGCAGTAAGCCGAAGGGTAATTTTTGTGATCCCAGATTTTATCCACCTCAAGATGCTTTTTAAAACGACTAGTATGCTTTTTATTTTTAAAATCATTTTATTGGGGGCTCATACAGCTCTTATAAAAATCCATACATAAAACCATTGTGTCAAGCACATTTGTATATATGTTGCCATCATTTTTTTCCTACTTGAGCCCTTGGTATCAGCTCCTCCTTTTTATCCCTCCCCCACCTTCCTTCATGAACCCTTAATAATTTATAAATTATTATTTTTTCATGTTTTACACTGACCCATGTCTCCCTTCACCCACTTTTCTGTTGTCCATCCCCCGGGGTGGGGGGTGTTATATGTACATCATTGTTACCGGTTCCCCCATTTTTCCCCCACCTGCCCTTTATCCTCCTGCCTTACCCTCCTGGTATTGGTACTCTCATTATTGGTTCTGAGAGGTTTATCTGTCCGGGATTCCCTGTGTTTCCAGCTCTTATCTGTACTGGTGTATGTGCTCTGGTCTAGTCAGATTTGTAAGGTATAATTGGGGTCATGAGATTCGGGGTCGGAGGAGGAAGCATTAAAGAACTAGAGGAAAGTTGTATGTTTCATAGGTGCTACAATGCACCTTGACTGATTCGTCTCTTCATGACTTTTCTGTAAGGGGATGTCCAACTGTCTACAGATGGGCTTTGGGTGTCCATTCTGCGCCCCCCAACCCCATTGGTATGATTTTTTGTTCTGGGTCTTTGAAGCCTGATACCTGATCCCTTGGACACCTCATGATTACACACACTGGTGTGGTATACTTTTTAGATATAACCAAATGCCTTGTGGAATTTAATTTCTGGATTTGAAGGATTAGGGCCATTATCTTGTGGGACATTTCAGTCATTTGGCATAATATAGTTCATAAAGTTACATTCTACACTCTAGTTTGATGAGGAGTCTCATCTGAGATATTAGGTTTTGTGAACAGCCATCTAAGATACTTGTCCAGCACAATAGGGAAAGAAACACAAAAAAGGAGTTTCCAGGACAAATCAGTTGTCTACACAAGCCACTGTGTCTATCCTGAGACCAGAAGCGCTAGCTGGTGCCTGGCTACCACTGTTGTTAGGTGCTCTCCAGTTGGTTCCAAATCCACAGTGAGCCTAAGTACAACAGAAGGAAACTGCTCAGTCCTGCACGTCCTCACAGGTGTTAAGCTTGAGCCCACTGTGCCAGTTCATCTTGTCCAGGGCTTCCACCATTCACCATTTATAATCTAGCCCGCAGTAGATGCATTGAATGAGAGACAAGTATGGCCTAGAACCTTAGATTCCTAAGCCCAGACCTACTGAACTGGTTGATACTGACCAACCCTTCTGGTCACCTTGCAGCTAAGTAGGAAATTGAAAAGAAACCAAAAAAACCCTACCTGTAAGCACCAAGCTGCTGTAAAAAATCATCCAGATGATACCAAATGGTCAACAATTAATAGAAACAAAGGTGAGCATGTAAGGGGTAAGGAGACAAGGATAATGAAAATGGAAAACCATGGGGAAAACATGAGCATGTTCATGCTTTAAGGAGGTAACCAACACCACTGAAATGGTTGCTCCAGAAATAGTCAACGGAATCCTACATCATAGTGTAAATCTTCATAAAGACACATGCAGTGCTTTCCTACAAGGTAAGATGATGACATTTTAGATCAATGAACATGGACAGTTTGCTACTAACATACTCTCTAGAGAATCTTTTGAAGAAACTACTTAAGGTAAAAGGAACATCATCCCAAATGAAAGGCCTGAAAAAGTAAGAAAATAAGACAATACATGATAATGGGTAAATCTCAACACACATGGACTGAATGAAATAGTAATATGGGATGGAAGGCAAAGGCATAATTGAAATATGTGATACCACTGATGTAAATGTCAGGAGGAAATGATTAGAAAGTGTTTCTAAGGTCCTCATGTTTGAGTAAAATAAGAACATTAGAATTAATAAGTATGCTATAATTTCTAGGATAATTGCTGAAACTTGAGAATTCAGCTGTACAATAACTTCCAAATCAGATGGGAGGAATAATAGAATAAGAAAAAAATATATACAAAAGAGTAAAAGAGAGATGGGAAACATAGCAAAAAACATCAATACAGATTAATTACGATAAATTAAATGGACTACATATTCAAGTTGAAAGGCAAAGATTATTAGAATGGAGGAAACATACAGCTGTGTGGTTTATAAGAATAAATGAATAAATGACAAGCTAAAGATTGAGAAAAGGTGGTCTCCGAAAGACTATGAACTCAGAAGTGAGTTGGCTTTCCAAGATCCATAGAGCGGCAGCAGACTGATCAGGCATTTCTGAACTCGTGGTCCTGCTTGCATTAGTACTCCAGACTGCTGCTGTGGTTGTCTCCTCCTTTGTTTATTCACCATCAGCATTTCTACTTCCATATGTTATTCGTTATTCAGAACCTGTTTTATTTGGGGGTTATTTTGCTATTTCGCATCTTTTTACAAATACTTTCCATTAGTTTTTGCACGTAGGCATATTTTATGATAGCTAATATTTAAACTATTCCTCTATTGAAGATTAGACACTCATCCTAAATCTGATGTGTTAAGATACAATGTACACAGAGGAAAATTTGCTCTTCACAAAATAGTTCAGTGAGTTTTGATAAAGATGCAGCTGCCAACATTGCCAAGAGGCAGAATATTTCCATAATCCTAGTGTTCTCTTGTAATCTGTCTCCTCATGCAACAACCGACTTTATAGTTTTGCCTTTTCCAAAATATTATGTAAATGGAACAGTAAGTAGCTTTTTGTGCCTGTTTCTCACGTGGCATAATGCTGGTGGCACTATGGGTTAGGGTAGGCAGTGGGTTGCCAGCACAAGGTCTGTAATTCAAATGCACCAGCCACTCTGCTGGAGGAGAAAGATGTGGCTATTGACTCCTGTTTGCAGTCTCGGAATACCTGTGTAGCATCGCTGTGGGGTGGAATCAGCTTGATGGCGGGTTATTTGGTGGCATGCTTTAGGTTAAGATTCATCCATGGTCCCCTTAACAGCAGTCTGGTGACTCATTCGTTAGGTGCTTGCCTGTTAAGTGGTTTGAACCCACCAGCTGCTGTGTAGGAGAGAGATGTGGCATTGGCTTCTGTGGAGATTCTGGCCTTGGGAACTCTTTGGGGCAGTCTGGTCTGTCCCCATAGGGCTGCTGCACTTCCGTATTGACTCAGTGCACACTGTACTTCTCTGCTGGGCTTGATAATGTGTTGCAGTGGCCACATGAGTTCACAGATCATACCTATACTCATGTGGCTTCTTAGTAATTAACAGGTTACAATTCGGGATTGGGAATGTCTCAGGTTACACTTCTTTGGTCAGGACAGTCTCCTTTGTGTCCACAGACAATTCTCTCCTTTTTCTCTTGGCCCTTGGCTCAGCTTCTGCCCTGCTTGGACAAATGTGAAAAGCTCTTTTAGCTCTGCCAATTAGTGCCCAGGGGCACCCTATTCTGCCAGTGAACAATCTTCTCCCTGGAGATGCTCAACTCTCTCCTTTCCTGGATCAACACACCCACTGTAACTGCCTTGTTCTTTGGCCCGGGAAGTCTACTGTCTTGCCTCAGTCTTTTGGTTCTACTGCCACCATTTTTCTTCTGCTGCTTCTCTACATCTCCCACCGTCTCCAGTGTTACAGTTCGCTCTGTCTCCTGGGTCCAAGGAATTCTCAGTACAGGGACCAAAGGACACGTTCTGCTCCTGTCTCATCTTCTTGGTAGTGGTCAGGTCTCCTCTGCCTGACTAGGATGTTTCAGTCTAAGCCTAGTATCTGACAAAAGTGACCAGGCCCCTTAGTAGAATTCC